AGAATAAGAATAGATAAGTTCCTCAAATGGTTAAGAAAAGAAAGGATATTCCAATCTGGCATTTCTTATTGAGAAGAGGTCTTGAGAAGCAGGTCTTTGGAGGAATCTGGAAATATTTTTTTTATTTTTTTACTTTTTCATTTTCTTTTTGTCTACTTAGACATTTTTAGATATTCCTCCTCCCCTTTTTTCCAATTCATCTTTTTGTAGTTTCCTGTAATCCAGCGACTTGGCCAGACATACGGCAGTGACAACCTGCTGGCAATGATGCAGTGAACTAGGAGGGTCTTCACCCAAAAATACTGTGGAGCGAAATATTGTCCACAAGATCGAACTTAGAGACTTTTATATTTACGATGAGTTGATTAAACTAGAATAATAATTTAGCTGTAGTATGTATCATGCTGCTCGAATGAAAATGTACTTTTTCTTCATTTGATTAATAAATTAATGATCTAGCCTGGCTACAGGTATACAAAAAAAAAAAAAAATAAATAAATAATAATAATAATAATAATAATTTGATTTAATAAAAAATTTTAAAATCTTTAAATTCGATTTTCAAATATTATTTATATTTAATTTTTAATTTTAATTTTATTTTATAAGTTTTCATAAAATAAATAAATTAAAAAATGTAAAGTGACATTAAATTTTTTAAATTTATATTATTAAATAAATTTTATAAATATATAGTATTTATATATCGTCAATCCGTCATTAAATTAAAACATACTATTCTCCTATTGGGATAAAACTTTTTTTATTAATGGCGCCTAAACCCATTGTTAAAATCATGTTACACGATATTTTGGAGGGCTGAAGTTATTACCAATATTGTCAATTTGGCGACCATATAACTTGGCTGAAATAAAGTTGGTTACACCGCGTGCGAGACGACGAGTGACATAACACAAGTGACGGCTCACCAGGTTGATTATTCATTTTCAGAATTCGAATTTGTCACACACTTAATAGTATAGATCAATCTCATAACGTCACATTAATTGCTTAATTTCAATGTGACCCAGGAGGTACACTAAAGCATAACTTGCGTTTTTTTATTAAGTTTAATTTATCCTCCTGAATAAAAAAACCGTGCCGAAGCTCTTCAATTTTATTTGAAAAAAATTTTTTTTTTATCTTATGGGTTTTGTATGTCCACTTAAAAGGAAAGGATTTGATTTTGGTTTTGTCATAAATAAGGTTATATACACGATTAACGAAGTAATTATTGAGGGAGAGAGAGGAATAAATATATCGATACGAACGATGTGTAAGATAAAAAACGAGTCTAGAGGACCAAAAAGCAACACCATACTGTAGTAACATGGGAGGTGTTTAGATAAGAGAAAGGGTATGTCAATTCGGAGACTTCAGGTATTCGGGATCTGCCCCTTGGTAACATACCCCACGCATTAAAGAAACGAAACCCAAAAATCAAAGAGGGAGAAAAAAATCATATACGAGGACAGCTTTATGGCAATTATCCCCGTTATTAATTGATTAAAACCGATTCCATAATCCCATGATCTTACAGAAATGATGCATGAAAAAAAAAAAAAACGAAGTGAAAAATATCGAACCAGATCAAAATCGAAACGCATATAATTAAACGAAAATTTAAGCTTAAGAAAAAGGAGAAAAGAGATTATTTGCTTTTACTCTAGATCTCTACTTATAATCCTTTTAGAATATCATCTAGACGGACCACCATAACATTTTGTTTAGGAAAGAATTCATCTGTTAACATCTTCTGGACCGGCTCATTTACATCGAAACAACAATCACTCACGACGGTAATAGTCATATCCCTGTTGAAGGCAGTTAAGATGGTTGGAAGAATCACATCGCTCGTGGCAATACCAGATAGGATTATATGACGAATATTACGTGATTCGAGGATCATTTGGAGGTCAGTGTTGTAAAAGGCATCCGCTCGACGCCTCTGGAAAAGTCGAACAAGATATATGAATAAAAAAGAACGCAGTGAAGTACCAAAAACCGAAATACCAACCTTGATTACTATGTCATTCTGAATGAGTGTGAAACGAAGAAATTCATTCATTTTGCTTAATAGATTGCGGGATATGTAAAGTCATATTTGATCGATAAATTACCTCTCTTGGGATCATCCCGTCAATAAATTCTGCACCCTTGGTTCCCTCGATGAGTCGTCCCGTGGTCTTAAACTGTTCCAAATAACGACTGTTTAGGTGTGGAGAGAGTTCGGGATAACCGTGTCGAAACTACGATCAAAATTTGGTAAGTAACATTGTTAATTATTGAAAATAAGTCGAGCATTAAATTAATTAAAAGATAATTGCTTTATATGTACTTACAGAAAGGCCAATGGAAAAGCAGTTGACATTCTTTTTTTGCCTCGCCGAGTGAACGGCGTTAAAGAGATTTCTTGAACGAATTAAAAATTGATTCAGAGTGTTGCCCGTCTGAATCCTATTAAGGTGTGACAATGACGATGTGACAATCGCGTTATTTCACAGGATTCACATGTTGATACAAATCAATTAAATGAAATAAATTACATACATTCCAATGACGTCGTTCTGATAATCGCAAAATAAAAAGCTACAAATAGCGAGAAATGAATCAAAACGCAAAATATAAAACAAAAAACGAAAGGCAATTTGTGTGTTGCATACGCTGCATTTTCCAGAAGGATTGAGTGTGAAGGTGCTATGGGCACTGACTGAGGGGGATATATCCCGGAAGGAGCGTAAGGAGGTCCCATTGAGGTTGAAGTCGAGGCCCCATACGAAAGATAGTGAGAGCTAGAAGCAGTTCCAATGGAAAGTGTGCTCGCCCCATTTGTTCTGTTTTGTGAAGAAGTTAATGAGGAAGACGATGTGTAATTAGATGTGGGAGGCTAAAGTTTTTTCGACGAATTTGTTGAATAATGAATATGTGATAATATGATGTGAGTCACATTATGACGTCAATAAACAAAAAGATTACTGTCTAACGAAACACTTACTAGATTCACTGTGTTACTGAAATTCGAATGCTCAGGCGATAAGATTGTTCCGGTAATGGGTGTGGAATGTGAAGTAACCTGCTGGAGAGAAAGTTCGGGTGCACCTGGACCGTCGCCACTACGAACCTGGTGACGATTTTTGAATTTTGATATCCATCCGTTTGAAGCTTGAAACTCATTTCGAATACCGAATAACTGCGCCAGCTCTAGAGCCTTCTCCTGAAGCTGTGCGTCGCTTACTACATTGCCACTTGACATGCTCGCTGAAACCCATGACGCCAAAGAATCCTCGATTTGAGGAAACTTTGGTGACTTCTGTGTCTTTTGTTTGGCATAGTTGGAGTTGGGGTCAATTGCTAGCCATTTATCCTTTTGTTTAAGGATCTTTGTTATGGTACTACGGTCAAGACCATACTCCTTAGCGAGATCCTCGTCTCGGAGTTTCAGATTCTCTCGTTTTTTTATGCATATCTCTTGTTTCGTGAGGGCGGTGATAGGAACCCGTTTCTTCTTTTGCTTCTGCTCTTGGGGCATCGTATAAAAGTAGTGAGGCTTGTTCGCAAAAGTCACCTTGGGAAGAAAACTACAAGTGTTTTTTGAAGTGTGCTAGATTGAACAAATAATGATGTCACATTTATGCTGAACTGTCTGAAATTATCCCTTAAATTGTAGGGATTTGCAGAAAAGTTTGCCTGTATTGTTTCCGAGTTCATTTATTATCGCTAAAGGATGCTATAGGTATGTAGATTTTGACTTTACATGGTAACTATATAAAGAATTTCTTAAAACATGGCGATACTACGCCACCAATTGGATTTGATTATTATTTAAAAAATAGATTATTTTATTATATTTATTAAAATAAACCTATAAATTTTAATTTAATATATCAAATATAGATTTTTTTATATTATAAATAAATCAAAATTTATTAATAAAAAATATTTTTAAATACAAAATATTAAAAAGTTATATTATTAATTTAATAAATTATAAATAAACATGTAAATATATAGTAACTATTATTTTATTAATATCATTTCAATAGATAAAAAATTAATATATAGATTTATTGATATTAATATATACAGTATATACTGTATATATATATTAATTACTAACTTAATTATATTTATTAGCAATATATAAAATAAGATTTAAAATATATTAAAATTACCAAAACTATTAAAAATACTATTAAACTTTCTAAAATTAAATAATTTACTAAATTATATTTTATTATATCAGATTAAGAAAGATTAATCTAAAATTACTTTCAAACTAGTACTAAAAAATACAAAAAATATTAGAGAACTATTAGATAAAAATCTAAAAATTTTTTATTAATAATTATTTATTAAAATTTAATATTAAAAAAAAAAAAATTAATATCTATAGATTATTTACTAGTATATTATATTTCTTTAAAAGAGAAATATAAAATTTTTTATATTTTCTTCATCTTAAAACAAAAGAAAAATAATTTTAAAATCAAATTTATTGATATTATTTTATTTAAAAGATTGCCTAGAGAACTATTTATTTAAATATTTGATAAATTTTATAGTCAAGAGATATTTTAAAATCCATAAAAAAAATTGATAATCTAATATTAAAGATAATACTAATTTCAAATATATTTTATTTATTTAAAAAGACATAACTTTTTCAAAGATATATTAAGTCTTTAGGTAATTTTTTATTTTAATAATTGTCTTTAACTAATATTTTTACTATAAATATAAATGATAAATATTACTAATGATATAGATAACTATAATATAAAAAAAAGTTATATTAAAATTTTGATAAAGGTTTTCAATTTGTGCTTCTCCTACAAACTATAAATCAAGAATAAAAAATTCATTGGTTAAAAAAAATCTTTTATTTATTTATTTTTATAAAAAATAAATCAAGTTTTATCTATTTATGGAAGTTATTAAAATATACTTGTTATCAAAAATAAATGATTTCAATATTAAAAAGGGTTGAAGTATTTTATAATCTTTATTATAATTGAATGTATTTTTTTTTTTAATTATTACTAAAAATTTTAGTTTTAATAAATAGACTTGAGTATTTAGAGTCTATAGAATATTTATATTATATTAAATTAATAATTATAATAAAAACAATATTTATCTATAAAGAAATAATATAAAAAAATATATATAAGAATATAGTTGCTTTCAAAAATTTGAGTTCACTTACTATATTTTTATTATAAATTTCAATTTTGATAATTTTTAAATTATTAACTATACAGTTAAAAATTATAAAA